ATCTCTAAAATTTGCTGGTGGTAAATAGATTGTGTTTCTACACCACTGCATACAGAAAGTCACACCACTCAAGGCTGCACAGAAATAACCTCTTGTTGGTAAGCTAAATAATCAGTGCTAGGGTTTCCTCAAGTTAAGCAAGTGATCTGTTCTTCTCCTGAATCTCAGGGCCTCATTTAGATTTCTCCTACCCCAAAGTCATCTACGTCCACTGCTCCCACCGTGCTCAAGTCTTGCCTTACTGTCTTGGATTATGCCCCAGTACTCTGCTGAAGTCACAACCTTCAGGAGAGCATGACAACAGCCCCAAAACAGCTGCAGCACCTACTCTGAAAGTCAGGCAAAAAAGACTCCACCTTCAAATGCTGAAAATAAAAGGCTGCCAAATGCATCAGGCTCTGACAAGCAGGTGTTGCTCTACTGTAATCGTCCATGAAAAAAAACCCCAAACAACCACCACTTACAATTTAATTACAAAGAACAATTAGATACCTGACATCGGCCTTTCATTGAGAGGCAGCTCAGATTTTGGAGCAACTTCTGAGCCCTTCTGACAAAACCAGTCCCACCTGCTCCCTCCTTAGCTTGCAGAGGACTCAACAGCATGACATCACAGGATCTTCCATCTCTCCATCTCCTGACTCCATCCCAGCCACCAAGGGAGTTCATGCTTGCTTTTGACTCCCACACAGGGATGGTGAGGATGGTTCACTTTGAATCACATGAATAAGGTGGCCTAGCATTAGCCCTGCTGTAGCCATGACACAGAGTCTCACAGGGAACTACAGTACGATACCTCCATCTGTACCCCAAAGGTAACTGGCATGTGATCCTTGCCTCTGCTCACCTTTGATGTGGGAGATGGGCAGAGTAGAGGCTCATGATCTCCTTCCTGTTCTGAAACCTTAGGAAGGGGGCAGCAAGGCAGGCAGATGTGTACTGCCTCTCCACAGACTTCTTCCCAGTTCTCCAGTATCTCTCAAAGCTCTCCGACAGCTTTGTAGCATCCTTTTGGAGAGGGGCTGCTAGGCTCACACACAGTATCTTTGCCCACGGCTTTCTGTCTGTTGCCAGATTTTTAATCTGTGAAAATCCAGATTGTTTTGCTTTTGACAGAATCTTGCCCGTTTTCCACAATGGACAAAGCCCCTGGCTTTCTTACATCTGTATTCAACAGAGGTAGCTTCACAGGCAGGAATAAAGGAAAACCATTGGTCAAACACAATCCCCCCCCCACCAGACACCAAAAGAATCACATATCAGACATTGGGACACCTTGTGCAGACCATAGGCTGGAAGAGCCTGGGATGGCCCAGACCCAGCCCAGTGCAGGGCAAGAGGAGACAGCAGCAGAGAAGACAGCAGGTGCACCTGCAGGTAAGCTTGGAAAATCCAGTCATATTTGTTCAAACAAAGCACACGTGTCTACTATTACACAGACATCAAACCACCTCCACCCCCATAATCCCAAATCAATATTTTATGGGACCTGAACAACCTAAAAGCCCTTCAGTGCAGGGGCTAAAAGAACAACACATACAAAATCACAGCATTTCACAATGTCTGAGACAACCCAATTGAGGTCTTGGGAGTGGTGGACTACTCTTGTTGGTTATTCCAATCAGGGAAATGTCTTCCTTAGCCTGGCAGGGATACTTTCATTTATATATAGTGCAAATGCAAAAAAACCCCAAAAATTCAACACACCACTTATCAGCTGAGCAGATGACTGCAGCCTCAAAGCACAGATTCCAGTTCAAATACCAATTCAGTTACTATTTCACGCAGCTACAAAACTGTTTCAAACTAAAACTTCCTTAAAAAAATCCTATCAAGGCATTTTTATATCCCTTTTATTCGCTGTTTGTTTGCAATAAGCCTTCGGAAGACTGAATCCAGAATCTCAGTTTTTATTAACTATGCACACTAGCTTGTTCTTAAGAGAATTTCTGTGTGTATTATCAGTGGAAGTTAAGAGAACATGAATGTCCAGGACCAAGAGGGAAAGGAAAGGAAAGAAAAGAAAAACAAGGATTAATCTTCAATTCATGAACAGCCAAGACCCTTCTTTGAAGGGGATTCCAAGGAAAATTTTGGATGACCAAAGAATGCACCATCAGTTTCATGAATGACGACACAGATTGCGCAACCACACACAGCCAGACTGCACTTCCATTTTTGAGCACGAATTTGGCAGCGGCTCCACAGAAACAGTTCCCTTATTAAGGTCAACAGTCTGCAAAGCAGTTTGTCAGTGCAGTCCTAAAAAGACCACAGCCCTATTTAAGAATTAGCAGTGTTGTAACTACCAGGGATTTCCACTGGAAGAGCTTAGAAAGAAAAAAACATCTCCCTCATTACATATTTTCATAACATTAGGCCCATCTCTTTCCTACACCCTGTTAAAAATGACACTGGCCACGATTCACTTGCACAACAGGAAGTTTGACAGAATGACTTTAAACGTTCATGCCTCCTGATCAACAAAATCAGGAGGAAAAAAAAAAGTCTTCAACTTCACAATTGCCATTTAGAGGCTCCTAAACAGTCTTTCATTCACAGAGCAGATACACCCCAAAAATATTTTAGATTAAAAGCAGACATACAGGCCTCCCCAAGCCAAACGATTGTTCACGTTTTTCACACAATCCAGGTCATAGCTGGGTTAGATTTAAGCGTCATCCAAGAAGACAAGCAGCTTTCTCCGTCAATTGCAGCCTTTAATCATTCTTCAGCACTTCCACAGATCAGCCCTGCCTTTGAAACACATTTGTCTTCTCAAAGTGCTCTTCCCCCAGCTAGACTCACACAGTATTTGTGTTAAGACAATCACTCATTGTCCCAAGGCAGGGCCACCTGGGATGCCAAGTCTTCTGCCCCCTGCAGCAAGGCTTGGCTTCTCCCCTGGAGAGCATCGGAAATCCTGCAACATCCTTTCCACAGGCAGCATCACCCAGCTTGTGTTCAGAGGCCTGGCTCACCAGCCCTTGCTCCTCCCATGCCCAATGATGCACTGCTTACCTGCATCTCCCCTTCCTAGCACACCCACCTTGGCTCCCAGGTGAGAGGATTACCTTCCTACCTCTAAAGAAACATATATGGCACTGCCAAATCAAAAGCAAAAGGTGCTTCAATTTCAGTGCCTCCCTTATGCTTCCAGACCTGCTCTGTCACCAGTCAGCAAAGATGCCAATCGTCTGCAGACAGTCCGGCTCCTCTTCACATTTCACTTTTAAAGCATCATCTACTCACCAGGGAAAAAAAAAAGATAAGCCACAAAATATTCACCAAAAAAAACGGAGAAAAAAGTAAAAAGAAGATATGTGACTGCAGGTCTGAATTATTCACAAGCTAAACCTTCAAGAGCCACCCATCACAGCTGCACACACAGTTTGCCATCTTGGCTGATTTCGGTGGGGGTTTTTTTGGTTGGTTGGTTGGTTGGTTGAGGGGGGTGGGTGGGTTCTGGGCTTTTTTTTTTTT